TAAGCCAAATCTTAATCGGGCATGTCACCTTTTCTTCTGTCTCCTTGATTGTGCACCTGGAACACTTCCTATATAGTATTCTTTAAAAAAATCATTCAGAATATCAAAGTGTTTCTTCTGCTTTTGCGCCATGACACTAATATTGAAGCAAAATGCCTTTATGTTAGTTAAGCATGACCTCCCCTTCCTGAACCCATGCTGACTATTCTTAATCCTGCTACCGCTTTCCAGGTGTCCAACTGCTAGATCTCACTAAAGAATCCCCATCAACCTTGCCTCCTTGAAAGGATAATTAATTGCAGCTTTTCTGCTATCAAGGCAGAGTATTTGTGACTGTCAATCACAAATAAGTAAGAAAGTTTATTGTTGTACTTTTTAACATTTAACCAGATTACTGCAAATCACCTCATACTGCATTATACCATTATAATGCATACAATATGCATTATGCCATTACATACTGTATTTATAACACAAAATGGTACAAAAAGCCACAAAAATTAGTGCACATTATATTTTATAATGTTGAAAATTGTAGTGCAAAACTTAAGAGAAAATTGACTTGTAGTTCATTATGCTATATAGCATTAGAGTTAAGGAACTGTCTATCAGAGCTGGACTAAAAACAATGAATTTAAAAAGAAAAGAAAGCATTCTATTATACTGAAGCAATAAGAAGGTCATGTAAAGAATAATTTAAGAGACAGCAGTCTTTCAGCAGGTGCGAGTGAATTCTATTTTAAATGTTAGGAAGAAGTCCGGGTGGTCTGACAGCTCTGTGTGTTTGACCTTAACATTGGCCAAATAAAACGGTATCAAACATTCCTTTATTTCATTCTTCCAAAATAGTTTTTGGGCTCCAAGCTGCCTAACTACCCCACTGCGACGTTGTCTTAACATGGGAAAGCTGCACTATTGATCTACTGAGAATTAAAGATCTGTCCTCTTTCAAAAAAACATTCCAAGATGCAATAAGGTCTTACTAAAAAGACTAATGAAGTGGTAAATTTGGAAAGCAAACCATTTTCATATGTAAATGTTAAAAGGTCATAGTCTTTGAGTGTAAATATCTCCTCTGAATAAAGGTACACGCTTACAAAAAAACACTTTGTGAAACACTTGATTGTATATACAGTTTTTATTGCTTTGAGATAATATAGGATCTCACAATCTAAACCAATTAAAAAGTACTGAACTGTGACCTACTGTGAAGGAAGGAGTCCTGATTTTAATGCCCTGTACTCCCCTACATGCACTCAAAGTGAAAGCCAAGAGAGCCCTCATCAATATTCTGCGATTTAAGGGAAGAAAGGAGAAAGGTCTCCGACGCTAAGTGGTATTGTGCTCTCCTGCGGATTTGCCTAACCTTACAAGCTTTGCTTTACAAATCTTTTATTGAAATCACTCAGGTCTTTAACCGATCCCCTGCGTGGTCTGAAAAGCCTCAAGCTAATTACACATAGCTAAGACATGCTTGATGAGATGGGAAAAACACGAAGCTCTTTGAAGGGGTGAAAAGAAAAACTCCGACCATCTGCTTGCAGTGTTATGGAAGATACAATGAGGGAGCAGAAAAGGAGGGGGGCAAATAGCCAAAGAGTAAACCTACAGAATGCATTTAATTAGCAGGTCAATGAGAGCCTTCAACATGTGGAAAGCAGACCAAAGCAGACCTAAGCAGACCTTAGATGAGGCTGGTAAAGGCACTATTTCACCACGAGACAAAATCTGTCAGACATGTTTAATTGAATACTTCTTGGAAGACTTTTATTTAAAAGTTTATTCTGATTCAACTTTTTGGGGAAACATAAACCAAATATAAATATATTCCCAAACTTACCAGTTCTATAAAATGTGCATGGTGCTTTTGGTGTCAATTATGTTACAGAAAGGTTTAATAACTTCATTGTTCCTCACCATTTTTCAGAACATGCTTTGCTTCTAGCAGTTGGCTAAACATAAAGTGTATGTTCACTGTTCAATTCAAAACAAAATAATCCTGGTATGAAAAAATACCCACTGGAATCACCTCAGGGTTCACACAATGCTTAGCATGAACACTGCTAAGTTAGAATAAACACTACAATGTTGGAAGATACAGATAATTATTATATTATTCTTTCTGTTTTAGTTTTATCCTAAACATCGACAAACCAAAAGCCAAAAGATTTCCACAACAGAATCAAACATATTGATAAGATACCTAAAACCTGCTGTTACTTATTCTGGGAATAAAAGTTTAGTTACAGTATACGTTCCCCAACAACATAACCGGGTCTGAAGAACTAAATCCCTAAACAAATGCATGTCTTTTGATAATATTCCTTAATGGCAGAAATCAATTTTTATTCTATGTAATTATTTGTATTTGTGGCTTTTCCGAGTGAAAATCATCATGACTTTGACCAGCACACAGAATAAAGCCAAGAGAAGAGTTTCTAGTTACAGTGGAGGTAGAACCAAAAAGTCTAAAACATCATGTGCACACATACAGTAGGAACAGATTCTGAACACATAAAAAAGCGAACAAACATGTAAACACTAGAAGTGATAATGTTGTGTCTCAATAAAGCCACCAATCTGCTCAGGAAAACAGACTAAGCAAAATGTACACTTTTTCACTTCTTTGCCTTTTATTAGATGATGGACTCTTTTTTTTTATTAGAAATCAGACCCTGGCCAGGGGCAAAAATTGGAATTGAAGGCATCTCGAAGTCTAAATTTCAGGACAATCTGTATAGATTTTTAAATGAAATTTCCACTACTGCACTTAAAAAAGCTGTAAAGAAGAGGATAGGATACTGTGCAAACCTCACAAGAAAACTAATAAGATATAAAACAGATGAAAATCAGATTTCTAGATGAAAGAACAATTTTGACGAAAAATACAGTATACAGTATGGCTGATCATACAGAAACAGAAGGTTGCTTAAAATTCAAAAGAGGACACCCACCAACACAACCTACACACCTGCAATACCCACTTGTCAGTGACAGCTACCCTGCCTTTCATCACTTTATGAATTACTTAGCATATTTTGTAGCTCCTCATTGTACAGTCTAAACGTTGTTAAACTCACTACAAAATGCAATAGCTCAAAAGCGGGGCTGTCTCCATTAAGCACCTACGAAAATACAGAAACCAACACTATCACCACCGTAATTAAAGACACTCAAACTTATCTCTTGTAAAATTTTGATTGTTGCCTGCATAAATTACGTGTTAATCATTTAATTAAAAACTTAAAAATAAGAGAGCCGGAAAATGCATAGAGTATCAAGATTTCTAAAGGTTAATTGATTTATAAGAATTCTTTCCATCAAAAGGCTGTTTTTGAATCAGTAATCTGAAAGTAAGAATTTGTCCTTAAATGATTAATGTCCTTCAACAGGTCTATCATTTCAAGGCATTAACAGATGAAAAATACCATCATATTTCAGTGGATATTAAAGCATTTCATTAATTCTTTTTATCTTCAGTGACAGAGCCATGAAAAATACTAATAATAATGTTATTAACCAAGTGCCTTAGTCACAGCAGGGCTAGATATTATTGAAATGCATTTTTATGTTGATGACATATTTCACACACATTTTTCAACAAATTTAATTGCCTTTTCAAACACAGCTCCAGAAGCGTACTTTCTACATACATAAAAAAATCCATGCTCACAATATATCAATTTACAGTTTTAGCACATTTCATCTACTCTGAATCTTCTTTACAGTTAATTTCTGTCATAATTACAGAAATGGAGAACTACCAGAGTGAACATGTCAACTGTGATATTGAGTGAACACAGTAGGCAGCGACTTCTGTTTTCACTTTCTAACACTTGTTAAAATCCTAAAGACCTGTTTGCCATCACTTGTTATATCGCATTTGTGGTATAATACATTTGTTGTGTGCAACACAGTTTGATGACACATTATATGTTATATGTTAATTTTTAAAAGCATAGTGAGAATTAAAATAAAAATACAAATTTCATATACTACTGTATAATGGGAAGAACATGGCAGAGCTGTTCTTCTTCAAGAGATACTATCTCTGCATCCTTTCACAGGGATATAAAGACTTCTATTCCAGAAAGCCTTAAACTAGGTTCATAACTTCCTGTGTTCTCAGTGACTGACTAATTTCTTTCTAAATCTCTCCTTTCATCTACAGATTTCTGCCATCCATGCTTCCCCTAGAATGCATCTCCCATCCGTCTATCTCACTGGACCCTATTCCTCACTCCCCTGACAGACTCTTGAGCCACTCCTTTGCCTTGTATTTCCCGCTCTCTCCAATTCCTCCACACATCGGAAATGCTGTCATTTTATACTTTCTGTTCACTTTTCACTCTGGAACTAAACTCTGGTAATTTTCTACTTTCCTCTTCACTTTTCATTGTGGAATTAACCCCGGCTTGTTCCTTTTCATTCACACACTCACTCAGTTCTCTACGCCAAGGTCCTCCAATATTTTACTCAGCAAGTATCCTGTGGACAGCTATTATGAAGAAGTCTACTAAAAAGTGACTGCAAATACGAAACCTCCAGTATCTGGGCTTCTATTTAACGTTGTTTTTTTGTATTGTGATTCTTATAGCACCTTTTTTATTTGCTATATCTTCTTTAAAAAGAAACTTACTTTATTAAAGTAACTCAATAACACTTTTCTTTTTACTAAACTCTCAGTTCATTTGAGCCCTAGAAAAACTGTTTCGTATCAAGATGAGAGACACCCCCCACCATGAAACAAATTGTTACCTGTGATGTACTTTTTATATTATTTTATATTATATATTTAATATATTTTTTATATATAATATATTTTTATATTATAATATTCAGATTTATTCAATCCATTTCAAAGTTACCAATTATGCAATTACAAAATCAACAAAATGTGTATAGGTTTGACGTTTTTTTTCTCTTAATTGCTATGACATTGAGAACCAGTAAATGTCAAAGCTTGTCAAGATTTACAGCACCTGCATGGGCGCACTCACCATCCATTGGCTCTCCTGATATGCAGGTCTCTTTGGCAACACCTGTGGGATCTGCTGTCTGTTCTGCAATGACAAAAAAAAATTATGTAATGCATGGTGAAGCTGAACCTGCTTTCTGAAATGAAACAGATTTAGTTATTAAGGGGAGATAGAGAATGATTTATATGGGTGAAAGTAGGAAGACAGGCAAGATGCTGATCACTAAAACACTGCTATCATTAACATTATAAAACACATTTATAAAACAGTTAGCTGAATGACCAGTGACTGTAGGAAAAACTAAACACATAAAAGACTGTTGAATCAAAAATCCTCTGTCAACAAACACAATTGAGGGGTGCTTCTAATGTTTTTGATCATTTTTCAAAACATTTTTTAATTAAGAAAATATTAAGAGGAAAACTGCAATTAAAATAAAAGTAGTAAATGAAACACACAGCAGAGATTTTACTTTAAATACAGAAAGCTATAGCTTGTTGGGGTAGAAGCACCAGCTGTTATATCGCTATTGCCAAAATATCTGCAGTAAGAGAAGAATACTAAATCAGTTGGGCAAATAACACTTGGAACTCTGCTTTCAGTTGCCTTCCACCATTTACATAAAGCAGTAGTGTGGGTCACATGTAACGTCAAATAATACTCCATATAAATTTTGCCCCAGAGAGGACAAAGAGACAGAAGTTCTGATGAGTGACAACATCTCCCTGATGCCATACAGTAACATGTTCTGTGGTGCTGATGTCAAGATGAACTTGCTAGACAATGGCAAGGCTTTGCATAGCTACCAGCAGCAAATTATTCCATGACCTTGAGTGTAATCCTTGCTCATTTCCCCAGCACAATATAAAAAGGACTGAAAAAAGACACTGATCAAAAGAACATCTTCAAAGCTACATTGAAATTACGTACCTTCAAGCCCATTTGCTGAAGGCACATACTGCAATACTTTCTTTGATGCTAACAGGGAACAAGCCAGGGTGACCAGATAATGGACAACACACAATGGCTACACATTACTAGATTGGTGGCTGAATGATTAAGAAAACCCTTATTTAAAGAGAGATTTAAGTCTCTAATGTCTTTCAGCCAATTGCCAGGTATTTGCATAAAATTCATTGACTAGAGTCACCTATACCCATACTCCACCTGCTACTCAGTACCAATTCATCTGCTTATTTTTTATTAATAAGGTTATCTATTATCCCTCATTATTCAGCCAGTATTTTAGCCTTTGTAAAAAATATTGTCTATTTTTTGGCTTCAACACTATGCCTTTTCAATAATAAAAAATCTCAAATTTCACTACAATTTTAATTAAGTCTAAAATAAATTTCAATAATAAAAAAAAATAATAAGCCATAGTCTGGAATTGTTTAATCTCTGTCTCAATTGCAGACTAATGGGACCTTGATTGTATATGTATATGTTATAGAGTTATATATGTTATAGAGGTATATATGTATTGATATAGTCCTCAAATAGAGTTGCTCCTGATCTGTTTATCTGTCTTGTTACATAACAATGGTGAAGGACAAAACATTGCTAAACAGACACTTAAAACATTACAGATACTGTATATAAAAATAATCATGCACAGGTTAGGGAATTGTATAGTACATTTGTATAATATTTAATTATACTATCATTGGCATAAAACGTCCAAATATGTTTTTAAAAAAACACACCCATTTAGGATAATAGACAGAGTGTTTCTAATAAACATCGCTCATTTTTTAAACTGTTCAGATTTAGAGATTTAATTGCACATTCATTAATGGCATGAAGTTCAAACCTTCCAATATGGAATGAATAGTCTCCTTTAGGAATCGGCACAGTTCAGCTATCCTTAGTCAACAGATACAGTAAGCAGCAAGAACTACAGTACCACAGGAAAACCAAGAATGCATGAAATATACAAAGCCCAGCAAAATCATCTCCTGAGTACCACTCAATGATATACAAACACAGGGCAACTGTTAATTTTGTTCTGACAACCCTTACCCAGAGGCTATTCCTACTGAGCTCTCCAAAATTACATTCATGTCAAACGCATCCCATTGTGTATAAGAGAGCCAAAAAGTGGCACAAAACAGCCAATTAAAGAATTCTCCCACTCACATACCAATTCCTCGGTGGAAATTCCTTTCAGTGCAGAGAATTCCTCTGCAGGAAAGCTCTATAAAATGCACGTCAGGCGAGACATACTAGGACAAAGCCTGAGTTTTGTTTAAAATTATACAATAAAGGAACTGCAAAAATTGGTACAAATTGATTCAGAATGTACTGTATGATTGTTTTTCTTTTCTGATGGAACAACACATCCTGTGTAAGAAGAATGCACATACAGTACATTACATTTATTCTATGCCATGGGCAAATTACTCAAAAGGTGTTATTTTTTGGATCCATCATCAAGCAGAATGCAGTTTGCACATGCTTTTTAAAAAAGTGACATTTTTTAATTCTTTTCATATTTATTTATTCAATAAATACTAATATCTAAGAACTATTATTTTTAGGAGATATAGTATATGAATGAAGCAAAATTGCGCAATGAATTAGTAATTTGTAATTAACAAATGTCAGCTTTAAAGTTGTTATGGCTCTCCATGATGTGAGGAACAAAATGAACAGCAATTTAAATTTGCCATTGAAAAAATATACAGTAGAGCCGTCTGATGTTGCCATGTGACTTCAAGTCACCTGATTCTGTGATACAGCCTGTGCCAATAATCTACAACACTTTGAACAGATAATGCAATGAAAGCCATCTCTTGAGGAAACTGATGCAGCCAAAGTAATGGTTTCAAATACATTTCACTTAAAGAAGTTCCTCAGAGATGAAAACAAGACAAGTCAGGAACAGTTCAACAGGGAATGACTTCAAGCTGTGGCCTAAAACCATCCCTTGATTATTTCTTATACTTGTCAGACACCAGTTTATCCTTCATTTTACAAGGATGACATATGCTCCGTTAATCTCTCAGTAGGATGTGGTGAACAAATGGTTTTGTTTCATGTTGCTTTCACATTATTGGTTTTAAATATGCTATTTATCCTGAATCTTGGGGACATACAGTATACTGTATGTGCCAGCAAAATGAGAACTACTGTATGTACTGTATGTTCTTTTAGTAAAGTTAAACAGTTCTTCAACTTTCAAATCTTCACCATCAACCCATAATACTACATCAGAATCACTAGTGAAACAAGAACCCAAACTCTCCCAAAAATTCAGAAGAGTTGCATGTGACCCAGAAAACTGGAAGGGGTTGCTTACACAAAGAGCTGTGTACGTCTGGAAAAAGCTACCCTTCCATTGGAATATAAGAACACAAGAACATGATAAAGGCCATTTGGCCTATCTATTCGATTTGGCAGTTAGTAGATAATTGACCCAAGAATCTCATCCAGCTCTTTTCTGAAAGGAGCATGGGTAACAGAACTCTGTTCTCCACAATTGTCAAAAGAATTCAAAACGGAGTGTCCCAGATCAAACAAGATTTGCAGGTTTTAATTCAGCAGATTCATGGGAAACACTAGTGAAGTCTGAACCCGACTGAGTTTTAGGATTAAGATTTGAGTCCTGTTGTTAGAAATGAAGGATATTCGAACAAGCAAACAAACAATAAATGTTTTAACATTTGGCAAGCAGGAGGCTGTCTAATCACACTTAATATGTTGAGTATATTTTTGAATCATCTCATGTGGAGTTCTCTGGGAAGCAGGCTTTAAAAATCTACTTTGTGGAGAATAGAAAGAAACGGTCAATATCTGTGGCTCAATACAACTCTCTTAGAGATACCCTCATAAGAGATGACAGAGCTACTTAATCTATTGCAATTACTTCTAGCTTTATCTCACCTTTGTCAATATCCAGTGTTGCAGGCTTTTAGTTTCACAATCAGCTAGGTAAATATAGCTTTTTTTATTAAAAGAATTTAATATCCTAGGTTCAATGTCTGCGATCATTTTTATTTTGATTAAACTGAGCTAACAAACAGTATCTGTATTTGTATATTTATGTCAGAAGAAATGTATTTCAGGAGAAGAGCATATGCAGAACAAAATGGATTGCATAGTCTATTGTATGTAAAATATGAATATAAACTTCAATCACACTACTGTATATAACTGAAGAAGTAAAAATATGGTTTGCGCCAAAAATTACCACCAAATGCTGCCATTGTGAGGAATAATGAAAAACAGAATATAGAACGTTCTGTCAACAATACATCATCATAATCTGAAAAGGTATTTTTTCAAAAGTGAAGTTAAATGTGTATCTAGAAAACAAATAACAAAAATGGAAATAAATTTACACTAAATGGTTGGTTTCCATTGTAAGATGGAAGCATAATCGATTTCTTGGTAATAACATGTAAGGGCTGCATTGAAAGTTGACTTTGTAAGTGGTATTCTCAAATAGCTATCTGAAAAGCTCTAATCAAATCAGCGCCAGTAAGGCTTCACAGTCATTAGGCTTTGCCGATGGAAGCACCACAATATTAACTTATTTCAGGAAAATCTATGTAGCATGAAGAAAAATAACAGTTTTCAAAGTTACTTTTTTGCCTAGGGCTCAAAAAAGACATTTACATGTATTAATGTTTTACAAGAGTACTCAAGCAATTCTTTAAAACTGTCAGTCTGATAAAATAGATGTACAGTAGTCATTTTGATAAAACAGGTTGGGGAAGAGACAGCACTACCACAAATATTAATGGAAAGCTTTGCAAATCAATTAATTTTTTTTAAATAATAAACAAGATATCACATCAATGCATCTTACACAATACTCCCATGTGTATGAACAGAATAAGGAAGCCGGAAAGTTCTGCAATGTTTAATTTCTGACAACTTTAGTCTATTGCATGAATGGAAAGAATACAAAAGCAAGTAAAGACAGCATTTAATTAAATTAATTAAACAAACCTTTGTTGATTTTAATTTAATTAGATTGCTGCTGCATGTCCTCATTGTTTAACTAAAGAACCCCTAATATTAAATGGACTTTAAATTAGCGCTCCACTTTTAAAAGAACTGTGGACTCCCGGCTAAAGTCGAGTTTGGGCTTGAACAATCTGGCCTTCCAAAGTTCTCCACTTAATTCAACTGGTGAAAGACTTCCTCACTTCTTTGGCTGAACTGCTTGTTGCTGCTGTTGCTGCTGCTACGGCCACCCACCATGTGGGTGCTGCAGTTCAGTGGTGGATAATGTCCCCTCTTATATGAAAAGGGCTTTGGGATGAAAAATTCTATATAAATGCCTTAATTATTGTTTCCCCTTTGTGAATAGTCAGTGTCTGATATCTGGTGAGAGTAAAACTCTGTACTTGGGTGACATGACCAGGTTATTCAAGGCAAATATAAATGGATAAGTTTAAAAAGACCGCCTGATTTCAGGTGTTAAACTCAGTCCTGAGGATTCAGATATAAAATTCTGTGAGAGAATGGACTTTTTTGCTAACTTGGTTACTGTGTGGGAACTGTGAAAACAAGGGATACTGCATTTGCCGCAACACCCTCTTTTGAGAGCAGAGAACATTTAGATTTTTTCTTTTGCTTGTATTATTTTACTGCACACTTACTGAAGACACAAACAATAACAACATCCCCATGATTCCATGGTTAATGTACTGAAGGTCTGATCGACTGTGTGTTTTTTAAACTCACGGGGGTAGTTTTCCCGAACAATGGCAGCCATTAAGAAGCAATACTGCCAGCTGTGGAGTGAGCTGTATTGATCTTAGTTTTACCGTGGCTCTCCGGTGCCTCTGTTCCCACCTCTGCTGACTGAGACTTCCCTTCATCCTGGTTTGAGCTGTTCTCACTTTGTACTATCAAAGCAAAATTATAAAAGGAGAAAAACAGTAAGAAACTGCTCTTTACCGTATGCTCACATTTATTTCTCATTTGTATTTCTTTAAGGAATAAATGCAGGTTTCAATATCTTCTGCGGTATTGTTGCTGTATTTATTACAATGATCATGATGAAATATGAGGGTCATGAGTGGGGGTTTAACATTTTTTTTTCATTACATTTGAAAAAACACAATGGGCCAATGGGCAGGTTTATATTAAAAAATAACAATGGCGAGCTGAACCAGCTATGCACTCATCTTTAGTCTTCATCCGTGTGAATTGTTAATGTGCAGAGTGCAGATTTCTTTTCATAAAGTCCTGCTTGCTGGAACACCACTCAGTTTGGTGCCAGTCAACCAATTATACTGTATGTACTTGAATGACTCTTTTCTCCACCAAAACCTCTAGGTGTTCATATAGAATTTAATGAAATACTAAAAAGATAACAGATAAAGATATATATTTTCTGTCAGGTACAGTTTTATGAATGTTTCTAGAATTTAGAAATCTTACAGAACAAAAGAAACAAAAGGGGTTTCTATAATAGCATGATGTAATTACATGTCATTCTAGGAACATTATAGATTTGGAGGTGGTGGTGATGACTATGTAAAGTATTTACAGTATGTACAGAGTGGTGTCACTTACAATATGGCTTTTTATTGGAGGACAAACTATGTAAACTAAATATGGTCCTTTTATTAGAGGACAAACCTAGTGTACGACAACATTCAAGAGGGGTGCTACTTTTAAGGAACTAATTATTAGTACAGTTATTCACTGTTTTACTACACTATGAATAAGGTTGCACTACATGAATTAACTAGCTAAAGAAGCGACAATTATGCTGTGTACCTAAAATGAAAAATGTAACAAGCTTCATTTTTTTTAATAGACTTCCCAATTCATCTAGCCAAAGTTATTTTGTTTAAAAAGGCTCTATCACCCTCAGTGATCTCAGGATCCTCCATTGATTCATCTCCTTGGCTGTGTTCCAATGAAAGCTTGTCCTCTTCTGTATTCTTATCTAAAGATAGAAAATAAGACAGAAATAATTCATCCTGAGTTTAGAATTCTGTGAACTCATACAAACCCTGAGGCACGGATGGCTCAGTGGAATACTTCCCCAGACTCATGTCTGTGTAGAGCTAGGCTTGAAGGATCAAGTCCCAGGTGAAAAGAGTGTGGGTTTCTGAGCTTAGAGTTAGGTAGACACTGGGACATCTCAGCCACAAAGTAGTGGTACACTGAAGAAAACAAAATGCTGAATTTCAAAAAGTTGATGGCAGTTAGATATATATTGTACACACAAAGAGAGGAGTTTTCATTGTTCTACATGAATCACATGAAATATCAATTTTGCAGTATAAAAGCTGGAAAATTAAATTAAAAGCACGCTGTAAAGTACTGCACATAACAATAAAACAGAAACAAACATATACGGTACTTGTATAATACCTTTACTTGCTTTATTAAATATGGCAGATCACAGTGACCACCACGATCACAGTACTTTCTATAAGAAATGTACTGTATACTGCCTAGAAAAAAAAGAAAATAACAATACACAACTAGAAGCCTACAGATTTGAGCTCCAGGCATACTGTTCAAGTGGAAACAGGTGTTTTTGGTTGGTGCTACTATTGCTGAAGATTTCTCTAGCATCAGCCATTGTAGCATGACTGTTTTGTGTCACAGTACATTGCACATGCCTTAAGCTTTGTCAAGACCTGCCCGCAGAAAGACAAGTGCATTCTTAGTGAGGTGGGGGGAGGGAGGCAGGGAAAATTGCAGGATAATGCAGGAATCAGCCTGGAAGAGCACCCAAAACTGCCTGCACTCAGTAGTGCATACCTCCGGCCATCTACTCATGACATCCCTGCTGCATCCACTGTGTAATCCTTGCATGTGAATACTGCCACCTCACTCTCGCATACAGTAGCCTACGCAAATGTGGTAAATCACATGATGAAAATATATTAACAATACAGGCACACTGTTTAGGGGTGATTGTACCAACTAAGAATCAAACATTAGATTACGTGAGTGATGTTTCAACATTGTTGATAATCTATTCAAATCATTCTTATGCCCAGATTCCCAGCTGTACCAAACTGTTTATGAGAGGCCTACCCATTATCATTTGAAAAAACTGCAAGAAGCCAAAACCATATCTTGGGATTCAGAATACATTCTTATTCGATTATAGCTTGCTGTAAAAAAGATTTTTTTTCATCCCAAGATAGACAAAAATCTGGAACATTAAGGAAATAAAATACTGCACAAGATCTTATAAACCCAGCATATCGAAAACAGCTAACTAAGCAATCCACATGAAATTGGCTACTCTGTTTTTTTTTACACTAGATGAGTAATCTCTCGATAATTACCGCTAGTATAGCATTAACGTAAATACAAAACTATTATTCCAATAATTATTATTATTTATTATTAGCCAAATGGGGTTAAATAATACACCAGGTCCTGATGTAGAAATAGGCAAAAGTGCCGCAGAATGCTGTTTAATTTAAATATTTACCTCCTGACTACCTTCAATGTGCATTTTTGAGAAACTAAAAACACAAGATTGATTAATCAAAAATGATTTAAAAGTAGGAAGAACAGGAGGGTAGAGGCCAGAAGCCAACACTTGGAAAGAGACATCCTTAATGACGAAGATCTTGTTTTATCATGTCATTTGAAGAGTAGCATCTCCTACAGTACAATGTCCGCAATTTCCATACTGGGGTATTGGTTTGCAAGTGGTGGTTTTGAGGGGAAGAGTACATCCTGCTGGTGCACCCACACCACTTGCAGCAATAACATGGTTTTCCTGGGAGGGCTTCGAATCTAGTACTGATTAGGCCCAGCAAGCTGAGGTTTATAACGTTTGTGCCAAGTGACATTTGTGACATTTGATCCTGTGTCATGAGTCATGTGAAACCAGCTTTGTTAGCGAAAAAATACAATTACAGACACCCTCTCAAGGTTGTCTCAGATGTCGTCAAAGTTAAGAAAATTTAACTCATGTTGTCTGCCAAAACGTACATTTGCAGACAAATATTATTTTGTTTCCATATTGTAGTAATTAAAGCATATGTATTAATTCTGAGTTAATCAGTTGTACTGTACATGAAGTAACTAGAAGACCTTGTTAAAATAATTAATATTTTTAAGACATTGCATTTCTGAAGGGTGTTATATCATAATTGATTTTGTTACTGAAAACTAAACTTTCTCAATTGTTGACTTACTAGATGACATGATCATTGCTGAATATGATGAAAAAACATTTTGCTGCTACTGTATTCTGTGCATAAGAATAAAGTTAAAAATTTAACAGAAAATCTCAAACAAGGAAAAAAACGGACTGAAATCTTTACATGTTCAGCCAGACAGTGGTGCAGAGGTCACTGAAGCAATTTAAAAATTCATTATATGCCATTTATGATACAGAGCCCGATTACAGTTGACCAGTGCTGAGAAGGTATATATGAAATAGTGAAGGAGAATGCTGAGGTCTTATATTGATTTTGAAGATACCTATATTGTGGGAATTGAGTCTTGAAAAGATCAGAAAATGACTGCCAGACACACAAACACAAGGAACGGACTGTAAAACTCAATATTCAAGCCCATGGCTTTACTTCAAACCAAGTACGTTCCATTAATACTTACAAAGCAACAATCTGTGCACCAAGATGAGATATTGTTCTCATGAACAAGACTGAAGATCTGCACTACCTATATATTTATGATTGAAAAACCAGCCAGTTGCACATGACACATGACGCATCATGTATTTCTTAACTGACAAAGCTTTTTTGGAAAGTAAGCAGTACAATTCCATTACCTTGAGTCTTAGTCATTCTTGCAATTTATTGTATGATGTATAAATTCAATATTTGTTTGCTTTTCCATGCACACATGGATGTGTGATTAAGCAGTCTTGACGTACATACAGTATATCCCATTAGGAACCTATACATCTACAGTAAATGAGCATTTCAATTTACTGTCTGCATTCTTCCAACATCTCACAGATTTACAAAAGTACATTTATAAATGTTGCCTTTGACTGCACAATAATATCTCGGATCCCATCAAATATTCTTCTAAGCTGAGAAAAACATGCAAACGTGACCTGTTGCTCTAAAATTAATGGTATGTCGCTAAACAACCATTTTACAGCTGCTCAGCCTTTGTTAGCATCTGTTTCGGAATAATGTGTATTATCACTTTGTGTTTAACATGCATTTCCACTGCTTCACATTTTGATGCAGTTTTTGATATGTAGCTCGGATCCATCTGGGTTTCACACAACACAACACTTAGAGGCAGCACCTGTGTCAAACCTGGAATGAGCTCAACTCTGCTGCTGTAAACCCATTAATCCTGGAGTTCACACACACATATAAAAATCAATCTTACAGTGGGATGCGTGTTATTGATTTCGTGATAGCAGTAGCACTGATGAAGGTCTAAAACGACTTATCAACATTGACTTGCCTCTATCAGCTTCAATCACTAATTTAGTTGCATTCTCCTTAAGCTCATAGATTGCCTGAGTGGATACGGGAAACCTTAGTCATGCAGATATAGTGTGTTGGCAGCTTTCAGACCAAGCAGTTTCATGTAGCAATGATACTGAGGAGAAGAAATCCAACTGAAGCTTATTTAATGTGGAAACATATGGAGGGATATTTTACATGCTCAGTAGATTATTTAAATCGTGTGGAATAATAAAGAATGTTTGTTAGCGTTCTTACCTCGAGCAGAGACCTTGTCTTCCTCCTCATTTTCTTCCTTCTGTTCTTCCAAATTCACAGTATTTTCAGCTTCTACAAAGCACACAGAATTATACAACTTCATACATATCATGAGTTATGGATCTACTGCAGTACTTGTCATTGTCAACTAAAAATGCTTTTCTGGATCTACAGCAATTACATTTGCTCTTTACATGGATTGCAATTGACGTTATTTTCACTTGAAGAACACAGTTTTGACCAAAAGGGAATTATCTTCTCCTTTAGCATTAGAGATCACCCCATTTTCACAGCTTAGTGTAATTGCTTCCTGCTAAAAAATCATTACTGACAAATTATTTTCAAGCCTATCTGTGTCCATATACCCCGGGGTCATCTATCAATTCAAGAACTGCAGCCAATGTCATTCCCATCCACGTCATTACCTTGACCAAAAAATAAATGCTATAGATGCGCAAAGATTTGGATTGAGTACTGCTCTATAACCTTTAATGAATTCTTTATCAAGGTTACAAGTAGGATGGTCACAGGACATCTGCAGTATGGTGCGAATTAATTTGCGCTCAAATTCATTCTCTTTTTCAAGCAGTGAATAGAAAAACTCGCAACCTTTACGTTTAACAATGCAACTTCGACACAAATATGGATACTCAAGAATAAAGAGTGAAAATAACTTTTGGAAGAGCTAATTATACAAAACACCCATAGAAAGCCATGAATACACACGCCACATGCATAGTAATTGAAGAGCTTTTGTTCAACAAAATACAGTATTGCTTCTGCTGGTCTGTGCTGAGTTATTCATTAATCACAAAAAGCTAGGTACAGTAGATCTGATTTTGAATGGTATTTTAGCACAAGCAGAAAATGGACAGTGCAGCCCTTGAATTTTCATCTAGAGGCTTTTTATAATACAGCTGTAAAAACCCAACAGAAAAACTATTTAAGATAAAAATACCCAGGCTGGTAATGTGTTCAAATACAAACCACAGTGAAGGAATATTCACACTTTACTCTGGCCAGCAACATTTCTAGTCTTGCAGTCTGAAGAATAAGTCCATTTGACTTATTTTTGGAAGATGTATAAACCTCCACTGTGGAACTGACAACATTTATGGTAAGTGTGGTTCAGAAATGGACATTGTGCCACAGTTGCAGCTGGAACTACCAATAGGGCATAAGACTTCACTGCGAGCTTCGACCAACCAATTGGTGATGTCTTATGTAAAATGACTAGCACCTGGGAGAGCCCCTAATGTCACTGCAGAATGTTGTGTTGTCTAAAAAAATCACACATTTATTTCAGGGGAATGGATTCAAACTCATATTTTTGTGGCGTGATTGATTTTGAAATATAACCTTAAAATCCCTTAGTTATTTTATAGACCATATTCTAAATCTGTCTTGTCACACAATTCCACAAACAACATTTGCAAGGCTAAGAACAATGTCATAAAGGTAACAAGGCCTTTCCAATAGCTGTAAGCTGTGGTTTCATGCCTTAACTGTTTATTTTTTGCATCGTTGGTGATCACTGTGTACTCTTGCAGTTTTCTAGCATTAATGAGACAAGTTCAAGAATAAAAAATGGAGTTTCCCCACTTATTCCTATAGTCTCCATGACAACACCTTCGTGCCATAATAGGCTTACTTGAAAGGCATATCATAAGCAATGCAAAAAAAGAAAAAAAAAACATTGCTTTCTTTTAAATTGTGGGAAGCTGTTGATTAATCAAGTTTTGAAATACAATCTGTACTGTCTATAAATTCATTCAGGAATAAATGCATCAGTATGCAGTGTTTCCTATGGAATTCTCCATGGCATTAATGTGTGACTTATAAGCAAAAAATACATTGACTTGTGAAATTATTTGAATAATAAAACACAGCATACTGTATGTAGTAAGGATAAAGAATTGATGAACCACAGTATGGAGATTGCCTAAAACTAATCACCATGAAGAGATAAAAAAGAGCTCCTTAAGATGAACAGTAAATCATGAACACAATAAATGATGAATCATACCTAATTTCTGGCTCTCCATTTCAGCATCTGCAGCATCTGTGTTGTCAGGTTTGTTATCCTCATCTGGTAAACAACAGAAGGAAAAAAAGAAAATCAATATTCCAAGATTCTGTTACTTTGAATGCAATGGCTAATAAGACATTTTTCACATTCATGGTTTACTAAAACACCTTTGACAGAGATTATCTACTTAACTGCTGATTAATCAGTAAAACTTTGGAAATAAAAGATAATACAAATGTGCAATAATGAGGGATATTAACTGATACTTGTTACAAAAAAAAACACCTTCTCCCCCTTCAAAATTAATATTTTGAACATGTTACCATATCTGCCCAGTCTTAGGATGTCATTCCAGAACTAGGGTTACACTTTGAAGGTCTGGGTTACCCAGAATGACTCAGATATTAAGTACAGCACATTTAAAACTAGACACTTTTGCAATATGTCATAACCACATATGCATCTAGATAAAAGGATCAATGCTTTGTAATGAGACATAAGAAAGAGGAAGCTGAGACATATCAGCCACGGTACAAACAGATCAAACTCACAGAACCAAACCAGACCAATGGGAAAAACAAGGTGCTGCTCCTTGTAGGGAGAGCTGTACCTTTAAGGCTCTCCATTTCTGCATCTGCAGGCTCATCTTTTTCATCTTCTTCTTCTGTGGGAGTAATATAAAGAGGCAGAGGAAAACAGGGGATAATCAGTGATGACCTGGGATACCAAGAGCACTTAACCTTTCACTTTGCATTCTGTACAGCACTTTGTCATGTGCCCAGATGGCTTTTATAAGACAGGTTAAAGATGGAAACCAGGCAAAAGCCAGGAACTGGCTAATTAAACTGAACACTTGACGCCATACAGCAAGCATGTCTTAGCAAAGATCAGGTGCCCATGATTGAAAACCATGATCTGTTGAAATCACTTCAGTTTTATTTCCTTGTATCACTGCAAATACACTAGAAAAATCATGCCTTGTGCTTTGAGATGTATGCCTGCTTCTCCCCTGTGCAACTAGGTTTTCCCTAAACAGCTGGTAATTAAATCTTGTATAGACTCTGGGAAAATAGCCCTCATTTAGGATATGTCTATGGGTTATCATGGTTCACTGCTGCACTGTAACTAGAAGGAACATTAATCAAATTAAAAGTTAGATTACTCTACAGTGCACATTGTAAACGCATGTTAAAGTATTGAGAATATTACTACAGTAACATGAAATGTACCACTGTCAAAATTTAAAAATCAAAACTCCTTAAGAAACACTTTAAATATTAATAATAACACTCTTATACAAATGTATTACAAAAGTGAGATACTACCATTGCTGTTACACTCCAGGATGACTATGCGCACAACTGCAGACTACACAGTAAATAATTTAAACTGAAAGTTTGGCCAGAGGGTATTTACACCTTAAGAAAGTGCTTATTCATGTTTTATGCTATGAGCCAACGCTTGACAACTAAACATCCAGTACGTCCATTTCTGCATTCTAAAACAATTAAGAACCAATTAAGAAATTAAGTTGTTTAAAACCAGAGTGATCGATCAGCACGACATGATCACAATTCATGCAATTCATTGAAGTCCTCCATTAGCAGCAACAATTTTGCCAAATAAATTCAAGTGATCCAACGCTGTCTTTCCAAGTATTATTATATTGTTCATATCAATGGGCTCAAATAAATGCAATTTTGTGCAGAGTGTAAAAAAAGGCCTAGAAGGGAAACAATAGTAAAGTCACAGCTAAGCAATTCCATCAGTTTATATTGTTTTCATCCAATTAAAAAGCCAGCTCCTATTTCACTAGAAAGGGGGACTGGAATTGTAGGCATCGATGAACTACTCTGTTTCCAAGGTGATGTGGCGAATTAGAACCAGATGAGCCTTATCAGGGACATAATGCTGCTGAAGCCTTTGTCCTGTCAATCATGATCTACACAAGTGAATGAAAAACTCACAACTGACTTGGTAATGTTATTTATTGATTCATTTAATAACACTTTTAGATACCCAATTGCCATCTCTATAGTCCCTCTTTAATAGTTTTAATTCAGGTCCCTGTTTTTACTCTCACTTTGAATTCGGGACAGGCAGCACAGAGGGTCAGTCACACAGAATATGATAGTTTTAGGACATCTACTGTAGATGCTTTGATTCACACCCTGTTCCTGGTATGAAGTGAACTGAAACACATTTTCTCATTACAATAAAAATTAATTGAGGTAAAAAAATACTTCTGCTGGTTCTTCACATACATGTATGCCATAAATTCTGCAGAGGTTAGGATACAGCACAATGAACTGCAACCCAAAATGCATGTTTTCTTTTTCTTTTTTCTTTCAAGTATATTTCTGCTATTTCATTGAGATTTGTATTGTACTTACAGCAGCAAACTCTTGTTTGAGAGACATACAGTAACTACCAAACAGATGGAGCAATAAAATAACATTGATCTATATAAATCCGCTATATAAATGTGTAAATAGTGTAAACTGCTAAAAATCCACCATTAAAAATCAAAATATGGAGATTTCTGAGATCCAACTTTCAAAAGGCAAGGGAAATGGAAAAATTAAGCTTGCAGAAAAAAATGAAATATTGTCTCACCTGGTATGAGAAGCCACCTATTCAGAGCTCAGAACCATAAAACACCACAGAAAGACACCTTAAGCTAGAATGCACGATCTCAACCAGCAGTGACAACAAAATCATATTTAGGTCCCTGTTTCTAAACCTGTACAAATGTTCTTTTTCTATTCTAGCAAGTTCACTTACTGCCCAGCAGGTGGCACCAAGGTAATGGAGTTTCTCCTGCAGTGTCCTAATTAACAGCACCTACTGACTGCATGCACTCAGGGTTATGCAGTGATTGTTACAAATCACCTCACTACAGGTATGGATTTGTGCAGTTCTTCTCTTAACATACCCCACATGACTTAACATTTACTAAAGCATTACATATAGATCAAGCAACCACACCAAGGACACAGAGTGGGATAGGTGGTATCTGGGATCCTTAATCCCCAATAAGGGCTGCAGTCCCTCCCCCTCCCCAATCCACTTTTCTGTTTGCATCCTCAAAAGCTTATTTCATATGCAGCTACTGTACAATGAAATAATTGAAAAATGCATGGGAAAAAGTGCTCCCTGTTGACAGGACCAACTGCTGTCATTCACAGGCACTGCATATCTGACAGCCAGACTCTCACCATTCAGGACACAGTTCGTCGGTGCTTCACAGCAATCTGATTTGGTAAGCCTGTGGCAGAAGATGCCAGTGCTGTCTGAGCACATCGGGCACCTTCTGTGGGGAACCAAAGTAAAGAGACTAGAAAATTATAAGCCTCCAGCGCTGCTATGTTTTGCTTTCTCAGCGTAATTGCATTTATACTCAGTTATAAAGAAAATAAATTTGATAGCTTGTTATTGAAAGACATCAAACCATGTCAGGTTGCATTCACTAAATCGATCTTGTTTAAGCCTGCATTCATTTCAATTATGGGATAATCTCAAACATCAAATAGTGGAAGGAAGAAGGGATAGCAAAACTGAAGCTGCTATTGCATTAATAACACAAACTCTACACCCATTTTCTTATTTCCTTTATTATAGCCACTGCTGAGTTGGCATAAAGATAAAACACTCAGACCTGCTCCTCTCCCAACAGGCTTGAAATATTAAGACTCCTAAATATTAAGGAAATACTTAATATTAAATATACAGTTTATTGCAATAGAAATACAGCTACAGTACCACTACATCATTATTGTTGTTACTTTACATTCTCACATCAGTATTCAAAGTTAGGATAAAGACCTATTTTGACTAGACACAAGAAAATAAATGTATGTGAGCTTAACTTACACTCAAGGGTAAAATATACAAACAAAAATTTAATTTACATGTCTGGTATGTCTATTATACTCCATGGTGGCTGACAAAGTTAATAGAAACAAGTGTAGAAGGTGTATACATCACTGTTAAACCAACAGATCTTTCATTATTTTGTGTGCTTTGAGTGTGCTTATAGGACTATCTTTATATATTACCATGAATAAAGATAATATTAGCAAATGTACTCAGCACAAGGCTTTTCCACCAAAGATAGAAGTAACACTCCTGAAGTAATGTGGCAGGGACTGTAATTAGCCCATTACAACTTTAATAAAGTGACAAAAATATAAGGATACAAGAATAAGATATTTGCATGAATTTATTTAACAGGAGAAAAAAGTCTCCATTTATACGATTCCCTCTCGCCCTTTCACAGTCACAGCCTAATGAGAAAAGGCTTTGATCAAACACTATGAGGACTGCTATTGTACGAACAGTGACATAGGGCATAAGAAACTGCTATCACAAGTTTCCACAGCAGCAGACTTGAATTACAATTTCCCTGATATGGCAGCAACTTTCCAAGACTTTATATAATGCAAATGTCAAAGCGATTAACCGGCAGACCAAAGGGATAAGGCACAGGTGTTTTAATACACAAACCCATGTATCCCAAATCTAGCATTTGTTTGAAGCAATGTTGCCTAGATGACTACTGTACCAATAGGTTTATAAGGGACTGCCATTATTGTGAAACACGCTAATAAATGAACTGAAAGCTTATTCCAGCAGGTAAAATGCAGAAAGTAGATCAACCAGTAACAGGTTTTCACTTGAATGTGGGTTGAACTCTCTGATCCGGTCATTGTGGCGTTGATCCTGGGTCATCTCACAGACTGTGAGTGTGATATACAGTACCAAGTGGTGGTGCAAAACTGACTGAGCGCCACCAAGGAACAGGGCATTCTTATTCAGCCAAGCCACTCTTCAGCCAGTGACACAGCTACACCTGTGGCTACAAAGAGACTTGCAGGCTTGTAGCCCTGTAGGCGAGAGATGTGGCTCTCCTCCCCTTGACGCTGAACCTCCGGTAAGGATCTGTGCCATCTGTGATGCATTCAAAGATGTTTTTTTTAAGGTGGGTGGATTCAAGAAGACTCATTTCTCCTGTCTGTGGCTGCAGTGTTCATAGCTGTGAGACGAGATGCTGAAAATGTCTGATCCTAAATCTCAACAAGTTTGTGACCCTACTGTGGTCTTCAGAAGTCAACAAGGTCATGCAAGAGAGAGACCCATATATTTTTACATGTTGAATCAAACATTACTGCGTCTTTATACTGGACAAAGTATTGTAAGAGATGCATTATATGGTATGTTTTGGAATTTACATCCTGAATGTTGGGTGTCATTAAAAATGTTGTAAGCATCTCTAAATAGTCTATTATATCTTTAAACAATACTGAGCTGAGCCCCCTCTCCAAAAAACAAAATTAGTATACAATTATCCTCAGTGTACAATTTGCTGTACATTTGCAATTCAAAGCCTCAGTAAATCTAAACGGGCCTTCAAGATAACTACCTCAAATGTAGTTGGCAGAATGACAGAATAAGCTTTTTTATGTTCTTGCTGAAGATTGTTTTTTTCAAAAACCATGTAATCACATTTACAGAAAGAGATAATATTGCAATTCTTTTTTTTCTCCAAAATCCAGACAGTTCTATCAAGAGGAAAATCAAACATTCCTGTGGAGGTTCACTGAGGTCTGAATGTACCCATTTTGGCTGGCTACACTCAGACCCTGGATAAATTGTTTAACTGAAGACCCCCGACAAATGACCACTTAAAAAATTCAAAATAAAAATACCAAAGCTAAACTAGAGGTAAGACCTTTGTATGGATTTTCCTTTTAAGGTTTATTCCACACTGCATAGGTTTAGTGCAATTCTGAAAAATGCAGTGTTACCATGGGAGTATGCGGCATCTTTCCACATCTTTCTAAGACGTTACATGGTAGACCTGAAGGATATTAAAGTCAAAAGGCTATTTCTCCAAAGAGAATAGCTAAGGCTTATATAACATTTAACTTTCCCTTCAACACCTTAATGCTTGAAGACAAATGGATAGTATGTGATGTTAATTGCTTACTTTTTTCTTCACCGGTGCAAGAATTTAATTATCTTTGGTCCATCTTATTGAAGAAGGCAGTAATTGTTTTTAACTAAACGGGCTGAAACTGCAAAACAGTCAGATAATGGATCCTTAAACAAATCTAACTCAAAATGAAAACATTATTTTCAGCAAAGTTCCATTTTACAGCCAGTCCCCCCAAGATAAGAAATCTGCAGCTGTATCCCTAATCCAAAATAACAGCAAAAAAACCTGCAAAGTCAAAAGACATCTAGCATGTACTGTATACTGTACCTTCATTGCTGTCTTCACCTCTGCTTGATTTCTTCTTTTTGGGTTTCTTGACAGGGGGTGTGTACTTCTTACCTACAAAAACAAATTGCAGTCATTAACTGTAATATAATACGGTTCTCTTTGAGGACCCTATTTTAAAAAATACACATTTTTGAACATTTGCCATCTTCACGTGTGTGTAGATTCAATGATCATTGTTAGGAACAGTGATGGTCTATCAAACAAAGAGAATAAACATATTAATAAACTCATGTTAAGGAACATGAGTTCCTCTTTTCATGGATATCAGATTTGTTGATCTACTGTAATAATGTACAGTAAGTGTGTGCACATTTGAAGCTCAGCTGAACAGATTTTGATCCAAGACATTCTTGGTTGTTAACATAGCTAATTTGTAAGACTAGTGTTGGATAAAACAGTTTTTGTTTTCTTTTTTCACCTCTTCAGTAAAGGCTGCTGATTTAAGACCAAATATGAATATCTGGAGCAAACACAAGGCAGATCCTAGACAAAAACTATTCTTTGTGAGAACACCAGTCTTTCGTAAGTCTGAATTCAGTCCAGACTACACAGAATGAAATCTCATCTGACTTAAAGAGTATTAAGGGCCGTTCTTGGACTTATGTCAAGGCATTCATCAGTAGTCCAGAGAATTAGCTAGGGCTATCTGGTGAGAAAGAACAGAATCAACAATGAAAATTCTGGGTGGTATCTCAAAGCAACGGGCAGGCAAGGTCTTTAAGCAAGGTGATTTTCATGGAAACTTGGCTTCAATGTAATACAGACTGTTTTTACACAAGAGCCAAGAGATAAGAGATTGCTGTACAACACAATGAATTCTGAAACAGTTTACATATTTATAAGCTGTACACACCAATATCGGTTTACATTGTCGGAAAATACGTTGTAATTAAGAAACAATGAAAGCAGGAACCTTGCCCAGCTACTGATTATCATGAGTTTTGACAACTTTCAGTGTACCAAAGGTTACAGAAAGATTTTTGAAAGCTTCTATTTGCATGGCACACATGAACACCAATCTTGCTGTACAGATTTTCATACAGCAAAACAGCCGGCTGCAATAAAATGAAATTTGGATACTATTCTAATCTTACAGGAGGTTGTGCTACATTCAATAATCAAAGCTTTCAATGGCCATTTCAAGTATACTGTACTAATGGATTTAGAAAACTGTCAGATCTGAAAAGTGACTTTTCAAATTGAAATACAAGATGATTCTCCTAAAAATATCCATTCTAAACAGGTTAGTTAAGGAAAGCAGAAGACTATGTGGTATAACTATGTAAAAAAAACATAAAATATTTTCTAAATAAATGTTTGAATGTGGAGCGGCATCTGCACGCTAGCTACAGATAAACAAGCAGAGGTTAATTCCATATTGAAAAATAAAAAATGATTAAGCTGTGGAGCAGCCTTCAGGTGTGTGGGGGAATAAGGGTAGGGAAATATGAGGCAGAATGGTTAAGGATGATGTGAAGAAAAGGAATGAAAAGATTAAAATCCAAGGGAGAAAGCTCTGAGGAAGCATGGAAGGCAGAAATCTATACATGAATGGTGATATTTTAAAAAAAGCCAATCACTGAGAACTGAGAGAAGGTATGAACAGAGTTAAAAGAAAATCTTGATTTCTGATGTCTATCTGGGCTAAGTGTTTATGAATACCTACAAAAGGATGCAGAGAGAAAGGTCAGTGCAATCATGGCCGAGACAAATGAAATGGGGAACAGTTGGATGGCATTTATATAATGTATATACAATATATGAATTGAAAAAAATGTCTTCTTAAGATATCCTAGTACTTAGTGACACAGAATTGTTTTGCTTTGGGGGAGGAGAGGCAGATGGAGACAGATGGAGATAGATATGGGACAGCAGTACAAACCATAAAAAGCATTTGAGAAAAGTAAAGTTAACTCCTCAGGTGACAAACAAATATGGAAACACACCTTAACAATATATTTCAGTCACATGAAACTTTTTCATTTATATTTTATTTCTTGAAATGTTTCTCTGAATAACTTTGCTCATCTGTCAGAAGTTTCATGTACTGTATAAGAGTAATAGACACTACTAAATATTATGGACTTACTTAACACCTTACATTAGAAGTCTGAAGCCACACAAAGAAAAAATTAAGGATAAACCTCTTTTTCTCTTATCTTAAAACAAGTAATAAAATAAATGGCACCCTTATGAAAATACTGTATTCGTTTTTGACCTGAAAACTATAGAACTGGCATATTTCTTTAGAAACATTGAGGGTATTTTCAAAAGGAAATTGCCAGGAAACTCGGATTTAAAGGTTTGTTTTCTGCAAGGAAATGAAAAACAAACAAGACAAATGTCTGTGCAATTCTAAAATTGTTTTAAGCACTAGACCTTGTAAGATTCCAAACTTTTCACTGTTTTTATTAGACGGCTACATGAATCAGTATTGATTATACAGGATACAGAGTAGTATCCTTCCTAGAGAGATCCCTCATTTGTGCTGAAGCTCAAATTATGCCTGTTCATCTATTTTCTTCAACAACCATTCAGAAATAAGACCTGAGTGGAAATATCACAGTGGAAGTCCATAGATATAAAAGCTGCTGTACTGCAAAGAGAAATTTGCAATATTCAGGTCACTGTGTAAAAAAACTTTCTACTACTGTATACAGTATCCACTAACGTTCTGTATTAAATGCTTTTATTTTACAGCACCTACTTTAAATGATATTCTAATCTGCATCTTCAGTCCTTTTATAACTTTGGATTATAAATTTGGAGTCAATTGTAACTGACTGAACTTACCAACTAATTTTAAATTGACAATAGTTGTTGACTACTGAATTTATTGCTAAAAACACTGTGCCACAGAGGGGAAGGAGCTATAGATACCTGCCAGAGTCATTCAACATTTGACAGCCTGTAAGCTCCACAGTGCCTTACAGGGGAGTTAGCTGGAGAAGCAGAAGAGCAGCAGGTCTCTAGCTGATGTCACTGCAAGCTTGCAGGTGCCTTGGAGATCCCATGTTTCACTGTTGCTCCAAAAGCCAATAGCAGTGTGGCGAACTAATGCCCCTCCATCCCTGATGATGCCCAATCACTGCTTGCACTGCTGTTTGAGGAATCTTAGTCAGAGATACAGAGCTAATGATATGGACCAGGCTTGAACCAGTAATATATGAACTTTATGGTACAACCTGCCTTTTTAAGCATGCCTAACTATAAATGTAATTTATTCACCTACCACTAAAGTCGACCCGCCTGTCTTGATTTTGTGGCTTAATGTATTGCAATAACATGTACAGATGCATGATCTGTTTGCTTCTATGCAATAAAACATAATAGAGGTGTTGGACACATAATGAAGGTGTTCTTTTTAAAATAAAAGCACACCTTTCAGTCTTTGATGTACAATCTAGTGTTGTGCTAGATTGTACATTTGGGTAAAACGTATTCTGCCTGTTACTGTAATCCCCAGTTTAAGTTCTTTCCATGTAACCCTCAGTTTCATCTACTGTATCTTAAAAGAACATTGGTATTCAGAAACAGTATAGTACAGTATGTTCTGTGTTGTGCTGAATATTGTATATAACTTTTATTCAAGGAATTATTCAAAAGAACATCTGAAAAAATATAGAAAAGTATTTTATCTTTCAGTTGAAGGTAACGCAGGTTTCACTTGTAAAATGACTTCCTTATAATAAACATTTCTTAAATTTACACTGACAAGACCAACATTAGAAAACTCATTGCAAAATGTTCAGGAGAATGAAAGTCTGGCAGACTGAGCCAACTGTACATGAAATTGATTCATATACTACATCCAAATCTCTCAGCTGTCTGTGTGATTAGCTACTAACCAGTCAGTCTTTGGGCCCATGAATTATGCCTGTAGTTTAACATGATACTGAATTGCTTTACGTTTTGAATAAATGTTCTAGAGCTCTAGTGAAAACTGTATGATATGCTTTATTAACACACACCTTCTGTAGTTTCAACATGTAGCATTCAGTTTTTATTTTGTGTCAATCTAAAATAATTGAATAAATACAGTACATGAGTATAATTGCCAGGATGCTCTTTCTTTCCTACTTTCCTCACTATACCTGTGCCTGTGGCATCTGTGCCAACCCATTTTCAAGAAGATAAAAATAACTTTGCCCCTAGACGAACTAGATCACCCAGCAATTACTTTCTGCGTTATGATATTTCTGCTGTTTTATTGTTTTTTTTTTTCTTTTAGCCTACACATTTCTGCCTTTGCAGATTATATTCCCACTCACTCCAAAGGTAAGACTGACCCCCCAGGAAGCCATGGGCATTCAGAAGTTGTCATATTTCTTCCTTTTCTTTAGATTGAGTGCAGCCTCATTTTGCAGAATGTGCCGTTAAATCTATTCCCCTTTCAATTGGCAGAGCATTATCACATCCCATATAACAAAGCTGAGTAGCTTTCATTCTACATTTATTGTAGAGCCAGTAAAGTATTAATTTAAAGATGAGTAGCCTAAACTAAAAAGCAATATCCTGCAACTAAAGGTGTATGTGCATTCTTTAGAGTTATTGGTATTTTACTTTTAATATTATGAATGCACTAGAAATATAAAATTCCAGAAACAATTCTGAGAATTGTAATAAATAATAGGACCTTTGAGAATAAAATCTACATATGGAAGTCAAGTAACATTTTTACAGACCTTCCTCCTTAGTTGGTTCCTCAGCTGCATCTTCATTTATGTTATTTTCTATAATGAGGAAAAAGGGGGAAAAATTAACAGGCTGTTGTAACAAAATGCCAAAGGGAAGACATTTTCATGGCAGTTTTCATCAGCACCACTGTGTCCAGCAATCCTCGACACAGCTGCTGGTCAAGCCACTACCAGCAGCAGGTGGACTTTATGACAGGAACACTGTGACAGTCTAGACAGGAGGCTGTTCTCACTGTAAAATAAATGGACATTCTCAAGAATAATGTAACCAAAATTAGCATCAATACATTACATTGGTTATTACCTAAACTCAACACTTCATAACATGGTTGCAGTATATACAGCACTACACTTTAAAAGGCTGGTTTTCTTCCTTGATTTTTCAAATTTTGTAAATTCATGTGCAGAACGTGAAGTTAAGGTTTCAGAGAAGATACATTGCAATCTTTTTAATTTTGTATTTCTTCATTTTATCTAGTTAGATGGTTGAAAAAAAAGATCATAAAGACATGGAGAACCAATTATACAGCAGGACATTAACTGAGTAAATCTAAATGAGGCTTACAGTATTCAATGATGTAACAACAGCTTCCCATTCAGGACCTAAACCCATGAACCTCTGCTCTGGAGTCCAGAGCCCTAACCTACTACATGCTGACTTAAAAGTTGACATTATTAAATATAAAGAATCATGCCAAAGAGATTCATGCCAAAAGAAAAACATATTAAGAATGAACGAATCATTTAAATGCAAATTAAAATACATACTACAACACATACAGTACATTGCTATCAATGCAGCATCCTGTGGACACTGTTGTTCTCTGGAAATCAATTATTTACTTGTGACAAACGTGACTCACATGTGCTGTACCTGTAGCTCTATGCGATGCGGTTATGGCTGCACTATAACATTAGACAATTTTGTCAAGTGAAAGGCATCCAGTCCGTTACTCATTCTGTTATATAATGTTTTCTATTCCTATTTTATTGAGGATATGAATAAATCTGGAGGGCACTGAACAGTATATCCTTCATGGTGAGTTAATGGACTAATATGGTTTGACACACAGGTAGGAAGGCATTCCATGGATATTATATCATTTAACATGCACTTCAAAACTACATAACATTTTGCATAGAATCACTGCAGCTCTGGATTGCTGTCAGTTAAAGGCATAGACCATATATACTGTATACTGGTGGGAGGCATTGAGTAGTACTGGCTGGGATTCTGGACCCCCAGCTAAAGATGGCCTCAAGTCTTAAATGCAAATCCTGCTGGTTTCTCCTTTGAGCAAAGTACTTTATCCTGATTGCAGGAATCCACCCAACCTACTGTACAGTATATAAACGGGTGCCAATTGCTCAACCTTCTTCTAGGTTCAACTGAGGAATTTACTTCTCTTAAAACATGCACTGAGGTACAGTACTGAGAACTAGCCTTTATGGTTCATATGACAGAGCTGTGAAACAATGATCCAGATAACACTATTTTGGAATTTCCCATTCACATCTTGAACGCTGCCGCCATAAAACTTCAATGGAACTTAATAAATTGCACCAAAAAAGATTATCTATTAGTTGGTTTCTAAAAGTCTTGATGGAGTTATTACAGAAAATTATGGAGGTTCAAATGCAAGTGACATTTTTTCCCAATTAGTCACAGTCTAGTGAATCTGACATGTGAAATAAAATCTCTTATTTTCACAAGTCATTTAGCATTCAGTGTTAGCCTGTTTTCTTTCCTTCCAGTGAGACCCTTTCTATTGACCTTTTCTACATCAGCAAAACAGGTTGCTCATGCAAATTTAATTCACCCTATGTGTAATAATAAAGTGAACTTTAACAATGGGGGGTTAAGCAAAGCCTGTAAGCCATCCACAGAAATATGTTAGAAGCTATAGCCTTACTCAAGCACATATTGTCAGAGAAACTTTTGCATTCCTCTGCCAGATTCATGCTACTACTGTACCACTTGAGTGATAGGCAACAATTATGTTTTCAGTTCACATTTCAGTTACTGATCATCTGTAAACTATCCTAATAATTAGAATTGTCAGCTGATTAAAATATGTTTTGTTAGAGTACACCAAATATAAAGCTGCTTATACAACAGTACATTTGCAGGTATAAGTCACAGAGTAAGGGATACAATATCATAGGCAAACACTAGTTCCTTTAGATGTTGATTAATTTAATTAGAGTTTTTATCTTTTATTTTATTATAAATAAAAAGCAAATCAGTAATAGACCCCCGGGAAAGATAAAGAAATATGAACATAAAGTCAGAACTTAAGAGATGAATAATTGAACACTCAGAATATGTTTCAGAGATCACAGGCATGACTCCTCCCTGCATAAACACCGCTCAGACAGTGAACATCCCTCTGTTAAAAACTTCACTTCCATTAGTGTCAATGCAATAAAATAATTCATAATCACGGAAATTGTTTTCCAATGCCTTAGTCAAAATCCCATGCAGTGCCTAATGTCAGTATATCTATGCAACGCTAACCGCACTCTTTGAAGAAATGGCACTGACACACATTGTGCATCATCTACCACATTAAGTCAAACTAAAACTGCAAATTCAACAAGTAAGTTATCTGCCTGGTGCCTCACAAGAGCCTTCTGAATAAAAGCAGAGTATTTGTGAGATATAATGTACTTAGTGAAGTGTCAGTTGCCTGTCAGTTGAAAAAGATTATTCTTACAAAATGTACAAAATCTCATATGATTATTAATCTTTTGCAGCTGAAGCACACTTCCTGACTGAATACAGGCCTTAATTAGACATACCTTTTTAGGATAGATGCAAGTGAGAAAAAAGTATGCGGGTTTACATTAAAATGTCTACTCCACAGCGGAATAAATTGTATGTAATATTAAAAAAAAATTCACTACGCTGGCTGTCAATTAACAAATTGTCATGTCCATCTTTAATAAAATTGACCAGTAGATAAAGACGTATACGATACTGTCTGATGCTTTTCTACCCAAATGCTTAGAACCATCATTTATATTTAAAGGTTTACATTTGCGTCTTTAGTGTAAAATGGATAATAATATTTTCCACTGATCCTTATTGCATTCATACTACAGATATCTTTGGTGAATTCTTTATTACTTACTAGCAAATAATAATAATAATATGGTCTCAATTAATTAGCATTTTAGCCAGCTCTCATTCAAGGTATTTTAATGATATTCCTATAAGATCAGAAACTTCACATTTTAAAGTTCCATCCAGTATATTATTTCTGTAATTGGGATTGCAAATGTTGTCAATTTAAGAAACCTATACCGAGCATCAACATTTCCATTGTTTGATCTCTGATTACAAAATCTTGAACAATTCCCCGGTATTGCATAATATAATAATAATCCATATTCACATTAGTTCTGACTAAATACAATATTCACTGCCTTCTTTGTGTGGAAAAGCGTTTTTCAGCATTAAAGAGACAAGAGATCTTATTGTGGTATTACAAAATAGAAAGTTGGTTAACGGGTCAGTGGTTTACTAATACATTTTTTTTACTGTAACCTAACAGTAACCTAACTTTCAATGTAATGTGTTAACAAATCATGAGTCCTAACAACTAGGACAATGTTTCACAATCTAAATCTTATTTTATTCTACGACAAAAAATAAGTAAAGGCGTAATTTTGTAGCTGTTAGAAGTCTAAACTGATTCACAGATTTTCAAAAGATCTGACAATTCACTAGCAACTTCAGCTAAATAAATTATAGGCTTTAAACGTCACAATAAGAAACACAAACACACCATAACAAGCAGGGTTTATATTACACTCAGCAGGGTTTCCTTACAAGTAAGCCAAACAAGACCATAAGTACCATGTAAACAGCAAGCTATTTGCATAGTAACTGAATCATAATCTCCAAATGCACTAAACATAGCATACAGCACTGGTATTAATGGCAACACAATAATTAAAGCAAACCATTACAGAGAAAATAATAGTAATATGTAGGCTTACAGACTTCTCATGGCATTTTGACATACGGTATACAAGGTATTAAGAATTAGATCAATCCCAGCATGTTCTTTTCACAATCTGAATTTAAAAGAAAAGCCTGATAGGATACCAATACTGGTGCAGTATTCAGAAATATTAAAAGAATTTCAGAGCCCCCACTTTTCAAGGGTTTATTGTATAGCACAAAAACAAATGCCTCCAAAATACGTAAAAATGTTTAAATCATGGGTTTCTGACTATGTATACATACAGTATACAGCATGATTTTCAGTAATGCCGTGTCCTGTGTTTACAGGTTAAATGCTTTTTTCATTTAATTGCCGTAACAGAGGAGAGAGTGTGGGGGTTTTCAATCATGGGGGGTAAGTAACTAGTAATTAGTTTAAAACTCACCTGGCTGCAAAGTGCTGTCTCCAATTTAATGTCAGTTCTTCGTTTTCCTAGTATGAATTAAGTCAGTTGCTCCAGTTTAGTGGTGCTGGTGTCAGGAGTTGATAATATAATATAGGATGATTTAGCTGTGAGTAGTAGTAAGAGGTGTTAAGCTATCAAGACTGAAAACTGTGTTCACAACTAATCCTGTGTGTTCTTACTTATTATCCTAATCTACTGTATGTTAGAGTCTTTTTCCCCAAAAAGGTCAGTTTAATCTAATATTGTTAATGTACTGTCCCTTACCACAAGATCATCATTAAGCTATCCACATTAATCATTAATCAACCACAATAATAATTTTCATTATAATTTGTATTAAATCAATTTTATCCTTCATCACCTCCTCCTTATTACTAGAGATGTTAGCACTCAAATTATTCATGTTTCTTGATGGGATTTTATGTCTTTTAGTGTTTGCTTGTCAGTCGTACAATGCAGTTGATGACGTGTTGATTTTTCATTTTCATTTGAATGTGCATTGTGTTGTGTGAACAACAAAGTGGAAGACACACTTTAAAGGTGTCAGCAGCTACCCACACCACACCACGTTTTGGACAAATTGGGAAAATGCAGAGATTAGTTTGCATATTCATAAT